ATCCAAACATGGTGTGTGGGCGTGTCCTTAAAGACAGGCTTAGCGTTCCGAAAAATACTCTTTCCTCTGTGAGATTTCTGAGCCTTATTCTGAAGTAAGGCCTTAACTGCTTGTATATGTCATTCAAGTGAACAGACATCTCACTAGTTCCACCACAGCTTTGCTGTTCCAGTGACATCACATATACGTCTCCCACTCGTTCCCCTACAGTATATGGAGTCTCTGGCTTATCATCTCCACATCTCCATTCTTCAGCATCTGCTGGGCTGACACTAGGAAAAACACTGTAAAAGTGTCTGCCTTTGCTGTGTCTGCGCCCACACTCTGGTGTCATTGATGCCTCGGTCCCTACTGGATTTTGTTTTTGCTGCTGCGACTCTGGCAATCAATCCTCCTGTGTGACATCCATACTTAATACTTGGGAGTGAATTAGAATAGTGTTGGCCATGTATTATGTGGATACAATTTTTTTTTTTAACATTTCCTGATTGCTGTCCTCTTTGCTGTCGCAGTTTATTTTCCCATGGTGGGACTAATGAAGGAATATCTAAATAGATGTTCTATTTTACATTTGCCGTATTTGATGGGTTCAATGGACATACAGTAGACCAGATGTGGACAAACTTTTTGACTCACGGGCCTCAATAGAAATTGAACAGGGCAAACCGGGTCAGGAGCAGATAGATGGAGCGTAATAATATGACATGTAAAAGTGATGCATAAAGGCTAAAATGCTTGTATCATTTTCTATGCCATCTATTGGGGAAACTGGGTATTGCAGGGAAAAGGCAGAAGTATAATAATGAAATAAATAATTTATTTAATATGGATAAATTTGGCAGGCCAGGTTAAAAAGCTGAACGGGCTGCATCCAGCCCTGGGCCTAAGTTTGCCCAGAGAAAAAACAGTAACAGCACTGAATGAAAGGTAGTAGCTGAAAACAGTTAAAAAAGACTTGGATAGATTCTTCTGTAATTGCGTGACTGTGGGTAATGCTAATTTCCCCGGTTGCAAAGATGGAAAATGTTAAATCCATCTGCAAAGGTTAATATTTTTCACACGTCTTTTTTCATGCCAGTAAAAGAGCATGTTAATATTTTGGCTGCGCAGTAATCCTCAAATTAGAACCAGAGACGTGGGAATTGAGAAGAGCACATTGACCAACAAGGACACTCCTAAGTGTTTGTATATCTTTCCAAGGACTACCTGTCTCCTGCATAGAAGGAGCAGTGATCAAAAATGAGAAAGAAAAAGAGAGGCGAAATGGACGGGAGGGGCAAAGCTACACATTTAAGGCCCAACTGCCATTACCATAGCAACAGGCAGGCCGCATCCCTTATTTCAGGGTCCACTGTGGCTTTGTCTACTGGTGTGTTGAGAAAATAATCTCCATATAAAACAGATATTAATGATGCATCATAAACAAATATTGAGTGTTCACTGTTTTAACAAGCTCATTGCTGAGGCACTAGACACAGCCATTATTGTTATGCAGTTAATCAATAGTGATAATGACAAAAGTAGATACGCCCATGAAGAAGGCTTTATGTAAAGGCACAAAAAGCTACATGCTCTTTTTTATGCTGCTTTTACAGGTTTTAAAGTTAGAAATTTGTTGTCGTTTGTTTTTTGCATTTACATGTGTATAATGACAAAGGTGTAGACGTAAATGATAATGACGTAATGACGTAAAACTAAACTTCAACAACATAAGGCACTGCGATTGCATAAATTAAATATAAATAAATAATAAATTAATAATTATTTGTCAAATGTCTAGCAGAGAAATAAAATCAACTGAAAGTCACATAGGATGTCAGAAAGACACTCTCCTGCAGGATCTCATAGAACACACCAGACAACGAGGGTGCCTGCCCCTCATCTGCCACACTGCACTGCGAGCTGCTGGGTCTCCAAGCGGGTTCTCTGCGTCAATGCCAGCCTAGATCATTTCACGTGTGCGCTGCTTTATTCCTGCATCCAAGTAATGATCTTTATAACACGGATCTAGTATAGTCGGGATAAGTGCAGGAAATTAGAATAGATCTCGGTGAAACGTGTGCTGACAGACTCTATGACTCTATGAAAAGGGGTACTTTTCACCCCCTCTTGAAATTTCAGAATTACACGTTTTGCAAATCGCTATCTGGGGATCCTTCTCAGATATATTTTGTTATATATTATTTCAATGATAAAAGCCTTTTTTCGGTGGCCGAATATTCGGTGCATCCCTACTTACAAGTATTTTAATAAACCGTGAATAAAGATAAGGGAATTTGGACAACAATGACTACACGGATATATTATAACTATTGTTCAGATGAGACAAAAGCGGAATGCTTTGGCCACAAAGGACTATAAAGTGAGAAATATAGAAACCACATATAAGAAGTAGAGATGTTTCTCTTCAGCCCTGAATTGTCAAATGAGAGTAAAAGGGACTGTAAAGAAAGAAAAAAGAGGTTTTAAAAGAAAACACATTGTTTTTGCCTTCGAACAACCTAAAGAACTTTTCCAAACTAGTGATGGACCATGTCCAGAACACCAAAGACTGCATAGATCCCTGACTTATTCCATAGGCAATTGGTTTAGTAAACAGACATTATGACTTACATAACACAAAAAATAATAGCTAATGTCTCTCTTCTTCCACAGACCTAACTTATTCAGATTTAAATGTTTATTATTATGTTGGTAAATGTGAGTGTGAATGCCTGTTTCAGAAATAAGACTGAAAGACTAAAAGGTAATAAATATATGTGACTCATGAAACTCAAAAAGGTGAAAAACTAAACAAAAAAAACTACATTGAATCTTTCAAAATATAGAAAGAATATATAGTTTATACTATATTATTACTATTTTTCTGTATTCTGATAGTCTGTATTCTCAATAACCTAAAACATATATTTTCAGATATTTTTCAGATATTTTTTACTTTTTTTCCAAATATTTCTAAGAATTTTGAAAAAAATCTTTAAAAAAAGTTAAAGTAAATAAAATCTTAATTTCACCTATTAGCTTAGCTTAGCTTTTCAGTTGAAATTTACAATGAGCAAACACTTTGCACTCAAATACACAAACTGTGTTTTAAATCGAGGATGAACTACAGTGATAATTCAATAGTTAGGTGAATACAGGAACAAAGGGCTTTAGTACTTGTCTCTGTCCCTGCTCACTAGTGAGACCTCCCCCTCTGTCTCTCACCCTCTGTTAATGCCTGTGTATAAAGTAATGGAACATGGCTGTTTGCTGCTGCAGGTGTGTGGCTGTGGTGGTAAACAGGGCTGTGCATCTCTCCTCCATGTCAAAGGATGTGTGCACATTTAAAATGTAGAAAGTAAATGCCCAAATGTATTAAGTGGTTAATTGAATTGTAAAATAGTGGAACCCTGGTCGAAGTAACACTTTTACTGGAAAGCTAGAGACAATGTTTACAATTCAATGCATTACAGGGGATAAAGCTCTGCTGACATTCTGTCAGAAAGTTTAATTTTATTTATCTTGTTATTAAAACATTTTTACTATTGTCCTTAATTTTATTGATATAATGTTTACAATGACACAAGTGACAATTTATAGACATTTTGTTTAAGTTGCGTTAATTGGAGTTAATTTTGGTTGCAAGCATTTTCTTGCTAGGTGTCCTTACAGTGATGTCATCACTATATAGGAAGGCACTGTTATAAAGGTATCACCTATAAAGCTGTGCCTTCAACTTCAATGGATATTTATTGAAACCTAAATATTATGGGCATTGCTACTGTGTATTTATCAGTACAGGAATAACAAATACTTGTTGCTGTATATCTATTTGTAAAAAGAACACACTGCTTTCTATTATATTGTTTGATTCTGTCTGTGTAGGAGAAACATGACTGTGCAACTTAGCTCAATACCTGTGCAAAGAAAACAACACAATTACCAATAAAATAACAGGAATAAAATAAAAAACTCTGTCTTTGTGAATTCTAGACTGTGTCGTTGTATCTTCTTCATTAATATTTAGACAGTGCATCCTTTATACAGATCTACAAATAGAAAAAAAAAGAAAATCGAAATAATTATAATACAGTCACAGTTCTAAACGGAGAACTACCGTGTGGATGTCTTTAATGTAAATAATCAACCCTTAAAATTTCCATTTAAACAAGAAACACTCAAATAGGTCTAAAAAGTTGACTTCGTACCTGTATGATTCACCACTGACAGTGTCTAGACACAGGAAATGTCTCTTTAGTCAATGAAGCATTCAAAGGAAGTGAGAAGAGTGATAAAGAGAACCATTGTTAGAGAAAGGTGCCAAGGCTAAAGCCAGATTCTCTGTGGTCCAATATAAATCCTTCCTCCTCCTCTTCATCACACAGGGTGGCCTGCACTGTCTCCATAAACAAAGAAGATCATTGCCAGTAAATTCAGGGAAAAAATTGGAAAGGCACAAGCACTTATTCAATGGCTTGGAGTGAAATAAATTCATCTGGGGAGTGGAGGATGGAGCAGTGAAAGGTAAAGTAATAATCAACTGCTGGCTTGACACACATGCACTGAGATGATACCAGTAGTGTTACAACCTCTTTATTACCCAGTGGCTCCATAAAACTAAATAAGCCCTATCACACAGAGCTTTCGTATTTCGTATTTCTGCGGGAGTTCACCGAGGGCCACACTTGAGTCCTGAGCACAGGTGAGATATAGGTGGGCAGATCAACACAAAAATAGAAAGATGCCACAAAGTGGGACACGGCAAACACCTTAGTGTTTCCTTTGAGCTTTCGGCATCATAGGTAAAGGAGAAGAAAAAGACAGCTTGAATATTTAGTCTAACAGAGTGTATTTATTCGTCTTCTGACTGACTGTCAGAGACTGAATCTTATCTATAGCCAAACAAAAAAGTGTTCTCTGTCCAATCTTTCTGTATTATTCTTTCATATGGAAAATGTGAAGTATTTTTATAAATTAAAAACAAAAATTAAAAAAATGTTAAGCATATAAAAAGAAACCTTTGATGGTTGTCTTTGCCCAGAATGCGATCTCCTGATTGGTCCATTGGTGAGTGCGGCAGGTTAAGACAGGAGGTCAGGGATTGGCTGGAGTCTTCTCTGGACACTATGCACACATACAGACAAACATGAAACAACAGTTTTAGAGGTCAATTTTCAACAAATAAATTAGTTATAGGCTTGACCCTTTAATAAATAATTCAGTTTTCTGTACCTACATTTTTCAATGTTTCAATTTAAAATTTTTGACACACACTGCAAAAGAACAGAAAGCATTAACTTGAGATCAAGTTTACTGATGGTGTTACATTCGCTTTTTTTAAATTAAAATTTTCAATCCTTTTTGATGGCAATTACAAGGACCCCAGTCTAGCTGTAATAATGACTTAAGCTAATAGTTTTTAGGGTTTCCACTAGGGTTTCAACCAGCAACAACCCATCACTGCATAATTATTGTCACCACTGGTTCAGATTTGGGGCAGACACATGATAATAGTCTATTATTCCTTACAGTTATTGTACCATAAATAATACACATTCTGAACATTTCTAAAGTAATTATAGCCCATAAGTTTAACACCTCATATAATTAAAGATCTAAACTCAGCCACTATCTCTGCTGAAGGCTTCATTTTGGCAACCACACTGCTGTTGATTCCCAGCATTTTCCTTGTCCCTGGATGGTCAGAATGAATGAACTGTAACAGGAATTAACACTTATCGCAATAAGCAGCGTTTAAAGGCATATTTCCAACACGATTACATTTTTAGTTAGATGACTATAAATCTATTTACATAGAGTTACCAATCAAGCTAAACTCCTCATATATTATATTTTCAAAATATCATACGCTTTTGAAGTAACACTTGTTTTCATTGTTTACATCTGGGGAAGCATTATTGTAGTTTGATTTCGCCTGGGGAGGTGGGCGTTTCAGATGTCCTGCCATTACTGCTTAAAAAACTTACAGAGAAAACTGTTCTAGTAACCACAGACATTTATGACATTTATTATCAGTGTTTTTTTTAAATGACATGCCCTCTATTGTCCCCTGGGACGCAGCAGTGTGAAAGAAAAAAAAGTGGGGCTGATACCAAAATTTGCCATTTCTTCACGTCTCAGTAAAAGGTCTCCATGTCTCTCTTTTCGTCTGCGTCTTAAATCCACTGGGCCTGAGTCACAATTGAAGCAGAAACATGGAGCCCCGCAGCCCAGTACTGTTGGCCATAAATTGCTGTGAAATTGCTTGCTTTTAATATAGGCTTCAACAAGCCACCTAGAGGTAAAACCGCAAATTGTCAATGAAGGGGCAAGGGGGGGGGGGTGAGGGTTCAAAGCAAAGGCGTGTGTCCAGTTAAGTGCTCAGTGACCCCACTCTACGTGAGTTTTAAAATAAAGCCGTGTGTGGGTGTGTGTGTAAATATGACACCTTCATATGTGAACAGTTACAGTGTGTCTTATTTATCCAACTGTGTGTGGGAGCTCCACTGTGTCATGGTCAAAGCACTGTGACTTTATAAGAACATTCCATCAAAGTTTTCATTTTATTTATTGATATAAACTATAAAATCAATAATGGTGTAATGATCAAGCTGGTTTTAGTTGGTCTGTGTGTCTGTGTGTGTGTGTGTGTGTGTGTGTGTGTGTGTGTGAGTGTGGGGCAAACAAAATAACGTGTCAAAAAAAAAAGTGTCAAAATAGAAAGCAAACAACAGAGTGGCCGGAGACAAGACTTGTCACCAAGAAGCTGTTTCCTTTCAAAATAAAACCACTGCACACATATTAACATTTTGTGACACGATTCATTCTATCCAAGAAAAACATGTAAACTAGCTGGCCTAAATGAAAAGGAATGGATGTATTTGTTAGACTTTGTTAACTCTACTACAATAAAACAGAAGAATATTGACAATGATTATTTCAAGTGTGGATTTTCATGGAATGGTGATGGACATCCAATTTGTGTCATTGTTTTCATAGAAAAACAATTATCTAACGTGTAACTTAATAACTCAAACAATGGCACTGTATTTCCTGGTCTGTATGTCTCACGCGGTTACCACAAGACAGCCTGAGGAACATGGGCCACATATATGATTATTAAACATGGGCAGCAAGTTGTTCCGCATCAATGAATCCATTTATTCTCAGTGTCGCTTCTAAACAATGAAACCACCTCTGCAGGAAGATGAAGCGACATCCTCTCTTCTGCTGCACTCATTACACTCTCCATCAGAATTACTTTCACTTTGTCTGTCAGTTTCCTTATTTATAAGTATTGTTTTATAATCTGTTGTATAAAATCTGTGTTGTGGCTTTTTTTCCTCTTGGATTTTATTTGTGTTCTTTAAGTCTTTTTCATTTCCTTTTTTTCAGTGGCGCAGTAGTGACGTTCTATTGTCATGGTGGCCATAAATGATAAGGGGGATATTTTCCACATACAAAGTTGTTTCAGATTAAGTCACAGGATCAGCCACACCACTGAAAAAGCATGACTTATAGTCTGAGAAAAAGAGGTACTTATAATGGCCATTCACATTATTTGTGTCTAAGTGTTTATTTGTTTCAAGAAAAAAAACACTGGCCTCCACAGGCCTTACCCAGTGGCGCAAATCGCTCACCCATGACTGAAGCTGCACTTTCTTTTCTTTTTAGTCTCTTCCATCAATGATGTTCTCTTTGGTGAGGGGTGAACCTCTGAACTCCAACATATAGCGGCAATAATATATATATATATATATATTATTATAATATAATAATAATATTATATAACATATATCCTAACGTGTGTTCTACACAGTAGTGTGGCATACGAGTTATAATTCTGATCTGACATATCTGAATAACATAAGGAGATAAATCGATCGCTAAAGATCAGGCAGCTGCATCAGAGTTGTAGTATGACTGGAGTCATGATTTCAGGTGATGGAATAGAGATGTTCGAATGAGGAAGAAGAGGGAGTGAGAGAGACAAAGGAAACGTGGTGACGATGACAGAGAGAAAGAGTCTGCAAAGCAGAGGTTAACGAGAGGAAAGTAATTCCTCCAGAGGATGAAAAACATATGAAGACAAAGTCATTAAAACAGAGAGGTGAAAAGCCAAAGGTTAGAGTCCTTATGTGACAGATCATTTTACCGTTGTGTGGTTGCTACATCTTTGAGAAACCTAAAATAAAGTGCTCATAACATCTCTACAACCTAGACGTGCCGTGTTCACAATAGGATACGCTACTGTGATGTAATTAAATATCCATCCATCCATCCATTTTCATCCGCTTATCCGTTACCGGGTCGCGGGGGCAGCAGTCGCCACCCAAATCACATTGCACTGTACCAATCTCCCTGAACCTTCCTGTGGGTGGTGAGTCCACTGGAAGGTACCAACCGCCCTAACCGGGATTCGAACTTGCCCAGGAGGTGAACCCTGGGGTTCCACACCAATGACAGAGACATTGCCACTTGTAATTAAATATATATAAAAAAAAAAAACTAAACCAGCTGCACCATCTCATAGCCTCCTGTATTCGTCACATGAGCCCCTGCCACGAGGACCTCTGGGCAGTGATGCAGGTGTTCTGTGAATTACCTTGTCGATGCCGTTGATCATCAGAGAAGTCGAGGTCCAGCATGAGATCATCCTCGTCCAGCTCTGAGGAACCAAGGTTCTTTAATACGTCCTGTGGAGACAAAAAAAAAGTCAGACTTTGACATGAGAAATGTATTAATATCTACAGCTAAAAACAAAATACTTTCTCAGCTCATTCTTTATGAAACATTTTTTAAACTCCTTCAGTTTTTATAGTGTTCTGGCAAGAACTCTGAACTTTCATTTCAGAACAAAGATTTTCTGTAGAACACAAGTCTCACTGGGAGCACTTTGATAATATTTACATGAACCAGAGTAGTTGTTGACTGCCTGAGGTTATGTATTACAAAAGTTTGTGTGACGGTGTTAAGATTTTCTAACTCTCCCAAGAATTCCTACATATGTTAAAATCTTCTATTTTCTTTGTAATATTAATTGTACTAATATTAACTGTACTCGTTGTTGTGTGTTCTTGAAGAAATTGGTCTTAAAATCCCATTAAAACAACCCATTACTGCAGTATTGATAATATAATGAATTGTATATTAGTTTTATGTACCAATATGTTGTTTTTGAACATGGATGACATCTATAATTCAGATACAGCATTCCAGCAGAATATCAAAGCATGTTCGTTCTCCAGGTGGCTCAGAATGTTTTGGACTAATCAATCAAACATTAACATTTTATGAAAACTAGAATATAATCACATGAAGGAAAAGCAAATGTCTGCTGTGGATATAAAGCATTGTATATATAAAGAATGTCTGAATATATATACAAAAATCCTGAATATATACATACAAAAAGCCTGAATATATATACAAAAATATGAAGCGTATTTGACTACACTGTCATAAAGATATTTTATTTGACGCAGTGTAGTGTGTTCTCTTTAAACTATTAATTTGTATTCGATTGTTCATGCTTACTTCCGCGAGTGAAGCGTGGTCCGTAAAAAAGTATAAGAAGTAACAAAGAGTGAATAAAGAAAGACGTTCATATAGAAGCTGCTTGTGTCGCTTTGATGTTATTTATTTATTTTTTTACCTACCTTATTTGTCCCGCTATGTGGGCAGTGCAGTGTTGTGCAGGCGTAGCTGTGCACCTATATGGACAGTGTGGTCAAATACACTTCATATTTTTGTATACATATTCAGACTTTTTGTTTTTATATTCAGGATTTTTGTATATATATTCAGACTTTCTGCACAAAGTCTGAATATATATATTCGAGGCATATTTGACCACACCACCCTTATCGGGGCGGAGCTACGCCTGCTACCACCGCGGACAAGGCTCTTGTATCTTGTGCCCACGTAGCGGGGCGTAAAAAGTATTTCAAAAAATAACAGCAATGTGAGGCAAGCAGCTTCGATATAAACGTCTTTATTTATTCACTCTTCGCTGCTTCCCTTCTCCCCTTTTCGCTCTCTCTTATTTTTATTTTTTTTATTTTTATTTTTTTACGGACCACGCTTCACTCGCAACGCGGAAGAAAGAATGAACAATCCGGTACAGAACAACAAATTTTCCGCGAGACGACAAGGAACCTGTGAACAAATCAATATTTTAAAGACAACACAGTGCACTACGTCATATGACAGCTATCAAACAAAATATCTTCAAATAAAAGTTAACATAAATCACTCTTTGCATTACTGTTGCTCTTTTCCTTTCTGGAAGACATACGTAATGATTGTCAGCACAATGGACAGCGTTATCGAATAATAACATAATATATTTCCAAACAAGTATTTATAACAAATTATAACAATTTTTATCACCCTTAAATTATCATTACTTTACTCTGAATCCCCCAGTGATTCAGTGAGCTTAGATCGTTAACGATTGTATGACTGTAATCTGTTCTTATTCTATTTAACGTATTTATTACATTTTCTATTACACAGCATTCACTGTTTTATTTTGTAATACTTGGGTTACAAATGTAACCATGACATATGCAGGAGCTGTTTTATGGGGATCTCCTGTGCCGCCTGGTCGGTGGTAGCAGGCGCAGCTACACACCGGTACAGACAGTATTTTTGTATGTATTGACCTGCGTAGCTCCTTCAGCGGCAGGCTCCGGCATCCACAATGCAGGAAGGAGCGCTACCGCAGGTCCTTCCTCCCATCAGCCATAAGACTGTTTAACTCCTTACATTGATTACCTGCACCCTTCACTGCCACTTTATTGTGCAATATGTATATTTTCTTGTTTATTATGTATATTTTTTCTAAAGGTTTACTTTAATTTTAGAGTGCTTTTTGCTTTTTAGTTCTTTTTACTCTATTTATTGTGTTAACTCCTCTTCTCTCTTTTTCTGCACTGCCACTGGCTACTGTACTAGTATGTTTCCCCCAAGGGGGATGAATAAAGCCCTACTCTACTCTACTCTATATTCAAACGTTTTGTATATATATCCAGACTTTTTGTATATATATTCAGACTTTTTGTATCTACATTCAAAGATTAATTTCCTGAACAGCATGCCATAATATACATATATGTATACAGTATACGTATAAAATTAATTTTAATGAACACTGGTATCAATCATGATTACCCAAGAATGCAGTAATAAGAGTTTAAGCACAACTAGAAATATCTAGGTTTTCAAACCTAAAATTTTGATATTTCTGACAAAGACCCAATGAATAACAATTTTCCATTGGAGTCGACTGTACTCGACCTCATGAGACAGCAGTGAATAATGTGTCACCCCTAGTACTGATTGGTAATCTCTCACTGAATGCTTCAGTGCAGTGTTCTCTCTTATTATGAGGCTCTAATGATGCAGAGAAATGATGACGTGGCTCCTGTTTCATTTTTGTCTGAAATGTGAAGGCTGCCATCTGATGGTGACAGGAAGAAAATCAATTCAGCCCACAGACCAATGCAAGGGGAAGTCAAAAAAAGATGCTCACCCTTTTTTGGTTTGTCAAATTTGAATAATGCATTTGCACTATTCTGTATGAGGCAGTTTTTTATAACCAGCATAAATGAACAAATCTGCCTGTTAAAAATATACATGCTTTGCAGCAGAGAATGTGAAAAGAGATAGCTTTGGTATAATTATTATTATAAATAATAATATATATTTTTCTAAATTGTCCAAGAAGTCCCAACATACGAGTATTTCGAGATACAAACAAGCCTTTGAGCAAATTTTTGCTTCGAGATACGAGTAAAGATTTGAGATACGAGCACGCTTACAGGCACCGATGCTAGGTGGCCGAGCACTCAGAGCAGCCCACGCTGCCTCACTCGTTCAATTCACCTGTTTGTCAACTTCCATACGCATTTCCCACAAGTCTTCAGTATTGGGTTTGCGCTATCTACGTGATTTTCTCTCTATTTTGTACATTACTCATTATAATAATGATGAGTTCTAAGTTCAACTCCCTTCCTTCCCTTCCTCCCCCACTCCTCCTCCCCACATGCCGCCATTAGCCACTACTGTATTGTCTGTCTCGAAGGTAAGAACTCATAATTAAAAGCACATTTTATTTGAGATCACAGGAATCCCTATATAGTATTATTATTTTGTGTCTATAGAGATTAAAACATGTTTTTATCATTGTTATTAGCACTAATAAGGGAGTTTCTTTAGAGGACCAGAACGGATTATTTTTTTTCCCATTATTTCTTATGGGAAAAACTTATTTGAACACCTCGAGTTACGAGTTTGGTCCTGGAACGGATTATGCTCGTATCACGAGGTTCAGTATTTTCATTTGTGTATTCCCTGATAATGAGTACCAATGTCTACACTTCTGCAGGTTGGGGTTCAGTGAATGTGCACTGAATTAAACCTTTCCAGGAAGGAAAATGCTACATTCTGATTTATTTCCTTTTCATTAACAGAGGGCCTTTTAAGCAAAAATAAAAAAAAATATTCCTGCATTGAACAAAAGTAAATAAAAATTGTCCATTTATCTATCCATCCACTTATCCGTTTCCGGGTCACGGGGGCAGCAGTAACCACCAAATCACATTGTACCGTACCAACCACCCAAACCTGCAGGTGGTGAGTCCACTGGAAGGTACCAACCGCCCTAACCGGGATTCAAACTTGCCCAGGAGGTGAACCATGGGGTTCCAGACCAATGTCAGAGACAATGCTTCTGGGCCAAAGCACCACAATAACAACCTGACTAGTCAATACAGCCTGCTTGTTCAGGAGGCTGTATACTGTATATATACTGTATACTACTGTAACCAGAGCTTTTACCCAGCCTTCTGTTCCAATTATAATATATACAATCATTTTGATTGTATATAGTGAACAATACTACATGGAAATGTATAATATACATATTCTCATAAACTTTGGTGTAAAAGTTCTCTGAAGTATACATCAGCACATTTTCTCTACTCCATCTCTCCTGACAAAAGGGCTACAAAACAATTTACCATATTGGATTTCAACTGTACGCCTCTGGCTGGTGATAAGAAAAAAAAATACAAGTCTAAGTTTTTGGGTATTTTTAATCTCACTCTCAAACTGAACTGTACTGATTCAGCAACTCACAGCAGCCTAATAACACCACAAGGCCAAATGACTTATTACCCAGCAACAAATGCTTAGAACTTGTTTTGAAGATAGTTTAGGCTGCCTTGAGATTTCTTAAAAATGCTCTAGAGGTCTTGCTTAAACTTTAGAGGCACTTAAATTTAAAAAAATGTAACACAGGGTCCAGAGAGCAGACACATGCTACATCTACTTGTCTCATTAAGCATCTGCAGGCACAGATCCAGTAACAAACTTCTGACTTCTCATCATGTTTTCAGGAGGTGAAGAACCCCAGAGCCACACAGAGTATTGATATACTCTCTTTTTTCTTTCTTTCTCTCTCAGTCTCTTACTCTCTCTTAATATTATGTCTCATTGTTAACCCTGTGTGTTTAACCATCTGTAACAATGAGTCAGACAGAGTCCATACTTTTAAAGACCACACCTCGTGGAGCCATGTGACTGTCACCACTGTGTGGCTCAGTGCAGCGGGGTGAAAGAAATAAGAGCAGAGAACAATTCATTGTAACACAATTGTACACAAGAGGACATTTGAGGTATATTAAAGTTA